CCAAAAACTTTGATGTAGATTTTTTTTTTTTATGTGTAGTTTGAATATTAATTGGCAATTTTAGTTCAAAAACACTGATCTTTATATATATGTATACAGACCTTGCTATTGACATACACAGTGTATTTTAAGATTTGGCTTTTAAAATTAGCTGATGTGACTTTTGTTATTTGTTAAAAATAATATGCTTATGTTGCATACGATTGTGTAACATTGAATATTTTTTTGTTTATTTCCAAATAATATGTACCAAATTCTTGCATAATTCCGCATCTATTACATCTGTGTCTGTAATTTTGATAGGTGAAAATATGGGGTCGTACGCTTTTAACTTTTCCGATAAGAAGATCGCCAGTGATTTTTGAAAGGGTTTTTGAAAAAAAAAAAAAAAAAAAGGCCTCTGCTTTTATTACTTTCGAAACAGTTTTAAATCTGTCCCTGACCGTATAATAATCCTTCAGGTCAAGCATCAGTTTCATTTTGTTAGTTTTGTTAAACGGGGAGGGGGGAAGCACCACACAGGACCATGGCGTTCCTCAGGGCGAGGATGTGGACTTTTCCGAGGTGATGTGGAATGAATCCCAGCTAAATGGAGGACCTCACATCAGCATGTCGTCGCTCAGCATTGGTCATGTGCACACATGCGCTTTGGTTTGCTCAAACACTATAATCTGCTGCTGTCTCCTTTCATTTAACGGCTACCAAGGCCGCAGCTAAAACTAGCATGAAGGTCTCGCATCGCAACTGACACACGTTCAATTATTTCAATCATACGCGAGCTCCATTAATTCGTAGCCTTGTGAATAACCACATCCCCGCTTCCTCCTCTTTTTTTTTTTCAACCTTTGATGGCCGGTTGAGCGTTGGAGGAGTGGTTGTGTGACTCATGCGTTCAGACGCCTCGAGCCAGATCGCTCGTGGTAACTAACGGCCCGGCTGACGTCCCGGATAAAGTTGTGCTGTGATCAAAGTGCGGCGGGAGGAGGAAAAGGGAGGATGCGAGACGGCAGAGGAGTGGAGGGCAGGTCGGCCTCTCTGAGAGAGACCAGAACGTGGAAGTGAGACAATGATTGGAAGCGTGATCTAACAGCGGCTTTGTAGCCTCCGAGTCTTAATCTTGGCAAGAGAATTCCGAGAAATAACTTTGACTTTTTCTTCTTTTTCTCCGAATCTCACATACAAAAGATACGGTATTTTGAAAAAGGCCCTCTTACAATTTCCACCCAGAAGAAGCGTTTGTGATCTGTACTTCACGTATGCCACCGTCACTGATGGCTACGCTGGAGAAGAAAACATCATTGAAATCACGGGCTCTATTTTCATCTAAGCCGCATGGATAAATGTGACTGTATTCCAATTTTCATGCAGCATTTCGAACTTGCCTCAACCAGTGTGTGACACAAAACTGGTCCAACCCATATCAGTACACAACGGTAAGCTCACAAAATATATGCTTGATTGAGCTCGCGTTTTTTTTTTGAGATAAAGAGAGGGATTGTCTCACTTCAGTTGAACAACACAGTCAGTCGAGGGCATCATCACATCCCATAACTTCCTACGAGACCTCCCTTGACTCCTCCGGCCGAGTCGGAGGAAGCCAACAAAAACAGAAGGCCTGGCTTTGATTCACCGAGCAAGACCATCTCATTCATAAGATGGAGGAAGAAGACGAAGAGGAGGAAGGAGGTCACGGCGAGGCCGCGCCACCGAACGACGCTTCCGACGTCCCGGAGATGTTGTTTTCATGGCCGCACAGGAAGAGGGAAAGAATAACAGAGTGCCGTTTTTGGTGGTTCTCTCATCGCCGCGGGGAGGCTGCCAGGGAAGGAAGCCCCTCTGCCGAGCATCTCCTCTCTGGAATTGACATCACCGTGTAGCGCGGGTCGACCTCGCTCCGAAGGTGCCCGGCCTACTTTCCAGACCGATACAAGTACGAGTATACTCACGATACTGATTTTGGAGGAAAGACGACATTTTCTCTCCTTTGTGAGACAAATAAAGGTTATCTTATCTTATCTTATCTTATTTTATCTTATTCAATCTTATTTTTGCATCATTTCTCCCAAACTATTTTGCACTACTTCCAGTTTATTTATACTGTACCTATGATTGGGACCAAAAATGCCTTTCAACTGCATAAAGCTTCCCAGGAACCTTCTTAGGACCACTTAATATTAGAACCAGGATCTAAATTTAGTGCCGGGCTAATTTGTTTACCCCTTAAAAAGTATAAAAGTGATTTTCAAAGGTTTCTGGAACTTTGGTGGCAGGGGTCTGCTGTGCTAAATACATCTAATTGGATGACTACTTGTTCATTGAGCGAAAACTATTAACAGTTTCCTCTTCTTGGCACGGGTTGTAACGCGGTGGTTCCCAGCCATCCGTTCTGACGAAAAAAAAACAACATTTTTGCCCCATTTTCCCAAAGTGTTTGGCCCTGTTTTCAATCAGCTCAAAATAGCGACAAGCCGCAAGCCCGTGGCGCACCCGAGGCACCGAATTTGAAACCCGATCGGGCCTCCAGAACATCTGCACCTTACGTGAGATGCGTCGGCTCCCGACGCTCGGAGGGGCGTGGCCGCGCGCCCGCAGCCGCAGCCAACCGCTCCCAGATGTTGAAGATAGGGCCCCGCCGTCTGGCGGCATGAGCATTGATCCCGTGCGCCGAGGGCCCGCCAGGCTCGGCGAGGGCCCGACGGAAGCTCGGCGAGCCTCGTGAAGGAACTTGCGGCGGGCCAAAGTGGCTTCAGTTGCAGAAGAAAAAACAAAAAAAAAAGAGGGGGAACGTTGTGGAAACGTCGTGGAGGCTCTTGGAAGCCGCCTCGCCACCTCCGAGCCAGACCGAGCCTGGCCGCTTACATTGTAATAGAAGCACTAAACATATCAGTTTGATATACAGGGTAACCTTGTGACTTGCATCCGTGCGCCCAAAATAAAGGCTTGCGCACCATATGTGCACGGGAAGTAGATTCCGAACGCCGTCGCGTGCTGTGTGCCGCATGCGTATCTGTGCAGTCATTTTTTTTTTCTTTCACTGGATGGTCTTTGAACACCCGCCATGATGTTGGAGAGGCATGATACTGTATTTTGAGAAGAGGAGGTCCGCCGCGTTAAAAATAAACACGGCACTTATGCTGCGGAAAGCGGCCGCGTGGAGCTGCCACTCCTGTTCCACTTCCTGCGAAAGAGAGTCAAGAGCAGATAAGCGATGATGCCATGCAACCATGTTCTGGAGTTCAGCTTGGAAAATTTCACGAAGGAACCACGACCGATAGATTTGTTGGTGGAGTCGGCCCAGTCCGTAGAATGGATATCAAACGTTTTCACAGCCCCAGGGATAGAAGACCGACCAAAACAAAACATTTCCCCATAAATTCCACCATGAATGTGATGTGAAGTACGAGTGAAATCATGTGGTTGCAAAAGTGTGCACACCCACTATTCGCTGGGTTGTGGCTGTGCTCCGAATCAACCAGGCGCATTCAAATTCAAGTTCAAGGGGAGTCAGCTCACAGTTCCAACCAATTAAAGTGACTCTGATTGCCCCCAAATAAACTTCAGATGTTCTAGTAGCTTTTCCTGGCATTTTTTTTCTCTCTGGCAGGAACCTGCATTTTGTTAATCCTGTAATTCCCTTCGCTCTGACAAAGGACCCGGTATCATCTGAATAAAAGCAGCCCCAAAGCACGATGGCCCCACCATCATGGTTCGTTTGTATTTATGGCCAGAAAAGTTCCACCTTATATTTATTCATGCATCCTCTTTTTTTTTTTTAAATCTTAAAATCATTTCAGACCTGAAAAATCTACTTTTGTAGTCCAATGTCGTATTTCTATTTCACGTTGCTTCCCACCACTTAAAAAAAGTGAGTCTCATGATAAAAAAGTGAAAAACCTGTACATTTCTCCACATCAAGGAATTTGGGAGTCCTGTTCGCAAATGACTTTGACATCATAAACAAGATTGTGATTAATAACGTTGTAATCTTCTGCAAATATTTGCACATTTCAGCCTGATGTGCGTTCGAGGCAACTCCCTATTTGTTGTCATGCGTGAGGTTTTCCTTATTTTGAGGCTCAGGCCGCTCTTTGCCAACGGAGTCTATATTTGAAATGCATTTGGTTTAACCGTAATGAAATGTGTAGTATGAATTTGTTTGCTCTCGCTTGGCTTTCCCCCCTAAACAGGCCTTAAAAATAGTTTCAGTTGGTTTGCGCGCCGCGGCAGATGTGCTTTTATAGCATGCACAGCTGCAGGCTGTAGGTCGTCTCACTAGAATCGACAGAAACAACCCAAACGATAGCGAATACCAGATGCAAAGCCTCAACGTGTAAATGGCCTTTACTTTGAAAACACTGCTTGAAAAATCTGACTTCCTTCTTTCTTTTTTTTTTGTACAGTTCTATAATATTCAAGTCTTCACACAGTATTAATTATATTAAAATAAATGTTATGAGTGTGACTGGATTCAATTAGAGGTATGAAGGATGTTTTCCTGTGTGGTCTGGAAAGCTGCTGAATGCCAGTTAAATGTGAGGGTGAGATTGACTGTGACAATACAATTCCAAATTTGATACAGTGAGCAAAAGTGACGCTTAGTGGTTGCAGTGATGAATGGCAACTTGGCAAGCAATTTCAAGTCAAGTCAAGTACAACTTTATTGCAATACAGTATTCTTCATTTAAGAAAAAAACATTTGAGATTCTTTGATTTTAAGTTAAAATTAAAAAAAAGGGTATTTTTTTAATTTCATGTTTAATTATTATATTTTCTTACTAATTTCTAGTCTTAACCTTTTATTTTTTTTCAATGGTTCTTGAATATACTTAAAATTAGAATTTTTTTTTTTTTAACATGTATCTAGCTTTGTAAAATGTTAGTGTTTCTAAGTGGATCCTTCACTGTTTTCAAAACGTAAAAAGTTTTCGTGGCGATTTGTCGGCCACCGTGAGGAAGGAACGTTCTGCAATCGGTCAATGTTTCTTACCGGGTAACAATTCCGTCGGACGGGTCGCCTCTGTTTACGCCACAACGTGGATGAATGGTCTCCTCTGATGACACTTGTATGATAGTTTATTTTGTATTAATTAGGTAGTGTCGACATTTAAAAATGGGTAAGAAGCGTCCGAATGAGGACGCGGCGGAGCCCAACACGGTGGCCAAGAAAACGAAGATGATAGAGTTTAATGGGACTCTTTTTAAAAACATGCTGAAGGATCCCACCACGGCTATGAAGGGTAAGTCATTTACCTAAAAAATATATATATATATATTATTAATCATAAAAATATAAAGTAATTTATGTTTATCTTTGGTCGCCTCCAGGACTTCAGATGTTCATATCAACTGCCAAGAAGCTTCCATCATCCGACTTGTATGATGTAGTTGAAGGTTACATTAAAATCTCCATGGACTGTGCAGAAATATTCAAATTGCTGGAAGGAGAGAAACAAACTGAGAGAGAGGTGACTAGGGCTTAATATCGTACTTCACCGTGTCCTAAATTAGGGTTTAATAATTGGATCTTCGCTGTGCAGATGGTGCTGATCTTCGAGAGTCTGGAGGTGATTCTGCTGAGAACTGCCAGTGACCTGTCCCACTTCAACATGGTGGGCAACGCCATCGTGAAAAAGACCGTTTCCAGTCACATGAAGCTGATTCAAGGCTGCTTTCATTCAGAAAATCACAGGTCTGTCGCTTCAACGCAAACTGCATCAATGTGGATATCGCTTCGCATGAAAGGTGAACCGAGAAGCGTACATTAAAACAATTCGCTGGTGCCTTCAGAAATGTGATTTGTCAAAATATGCTAGGGATTAATGTGGCCTGAAAACGTACCATAATTGCTGGGAACATAGTGGAAAGTAGCATTAGCTTTTGGCGGCCAGCGTCCGTATCTTCACCCAGCCTATCCTCCCAGGTCATGGGCGGTAAAACTCAGGGTGGCGTCAGTAATTATGTAAAGTGCCTCCCAGTTGTGCAAAATGACAAACGACTTGCTCACAGACATGTATGTTTCCAGAAACAGCAGCTGTTATGATGATCCCATTTGTTCTCCACAGATTAGTTCGTCTGTGCCTGAGCCTCCTGTCGGCTTCCATATCTCAAGGTCCCGAAGCTGCCAGAGAGATCCTCAGTCACATTTACTTCAATAAGTCCCTCGCCGGGCTGGCCAGGAGAAAAGATAAGAAGGTGAGATACGCTCTCCTCCAAAAGTATTAGAACAGCGTGATCAGTTCCTTTATTTTGCCATAGACTGAAAACATTTGGGTTTCATATCAAGAGATAAGCGGTTCAGCGTTTATTTCCAGGTGGTGCTTGTTTTCCCAACCAGACACATCTCTTAACATGTATACTACTTGGAGGTTTAAGTGTTGGCTTATCGCCATCTGTAATCTGTGACACAAATGTTTAGTTAGGTTGGTAACGCATATCACAAAGCTCAGAAGCAGACTTGTTTTGTTTTTTTTCCCTTTCAATACACTTTGCCTCCATTGACATGTAGTATATTGGATTGACTTGAGCAGTTTTCACATATCCTTTACGTTTTCCTGGTCTACTGCAACAACAAAATTAATCGGCCTCACGGGAGCACACTTCTTTCCTTTTTTTTCCAGGGAGGACCCGACATCCGCATGGCCTTCATCCAGTTTGCCCTCTCCTTTTTGGTCTCGGGGGACAGCGCGACAGTTGGACAGATACTCGAGGTCAAAGGTAACCCCGGAGTGATAATCGGCAAGCAACCTTTTTTAGGCCTGTTTTGAACGTGTCAATTGTGTCGCGACAGAGCTTCTGCCCGAGATTCTCAGCACGGGGCTGAAGGAGGACAGGCTGTCCATAGTCAATCTGATCTTGTCCACGCTGAAGACCAGAGTAAGTAAATGTTTGTCCAATTTCAGTACGTCCAGTAGAGATGAGAAGTCAAGGCGAGCGTCTACCGCTAGGCCAGAATTTGACAAAAAAAAAGACCAGAAGACAATCAAAACGTTCCTTGTACTTTCACCCGTGAAAGCAGCACTTCATCACCAAGCCGTCGAATGACACTTGTCGATTAGTGCGTGGATCCGTGCATGTGGCGCAAGCAAGCTAATATTTGATGTTCTCTAGATTGTATGATCCTTGATGATATTTTCTGTGTTTTGTCTCATTGCAGGTTGTGTTAAACAAGGCCATCAGCAAAACGCAAAAGGTGCGTTTTTTCACAGCTGCGGTGTTGGCCCACATCGCGTCGCTGTATAAATGGAACGGGATCGTGGACGTCACCGTGGATGAGGACGACGTGAGTTTTTGTCTTATTTGAATAAAAGCTTTGCTGGTGTTGGACTGAATTCTCTTTCACTCCTTGTCACTGCCTGAGGAAACTTTGCAATTTGGAATATTTGCGAAAATGCTCCCCCACACACACTCCCCAATCCCCCATCTCAAATTCCAAAGGAAATTTACCACAACTATTCCAGCCACTTTCAAGTGGGTTTCTAAACGCTCTTTCTACGTCAAAAGATGGAGGATGACTCGGAAAATGCTGGCATCTCGGTGGTGCGGGAAATGGCTCACAATTTCCTCCTAGAATTGTGTTGCTCCCGAAAGTACGGCATCAGCTTCCACGACGCTAGCTTCGGCACGGTCGGCAGGCAAGTATTACAGTTTTATACTGGACACGAGCGCAGAAGGCAGCGCCGGTAATGACCTCGGTTTTCTCAGCAGAGCCGGCAACATCGTGCTGCTTCAGTTCCTGGTGGGCCTGAAGCAGGCGACGGAGGACGAGCTGCTGGCCGAGCTGCTGGTCCGCACGCTTAAAGCCAGTCCGGATGTCCTGACGCGATACTTCAAGGAGACGCAGTACTCGTACTCGCCCCGCCTCACAAGTGCCTGGCAGGACAATGTTGGGCTGCTCAAGAAGGTGAAAAGATATCGTTGCAAGGGGATTATAAAATAACGCCCGCTGAAATTCTGTTGTCATTTATGCAGAAAATCAGTGGAAATAGAAATGGAAAACCGTAACATGAATGTGCTGTGGCAAAACTAAAAAGATTGGTTAGCACGTCCGGCCTTCCCGTGTGGAGTTTGCATGTTCTCCCCGTGCCTGTGTGGGTTTTCCCCGGGTACTCCGGTTTCCTCCCACATTCCCAAAACATGCATGGCAGGCTGATTGGACACTCCAAATTGTCCCTCGGTGTGAGTGTGAACGCGGATGGTTGTTGGTCTCTGTGTGCCCTGCCATTGGCTGGCAACCGGTTCAGGGTGTCCCCGGCCTACTGCCCAAAGACAGTTCGGATTGTCTCCAGCACACCCCGCATGCCTCGTGAGGAGAAGCTGATTAGAAAAATGGATGGATGGATCATATCTTCAATATCATTGTTGGTCCTTTCACGTCAGATCTACGAGGCGCAGCCGGACGTCAGCGTTCTATTCCAAAGCAGCGAGCTGGTTCCTCTCCCTCGCCTGCTTTCCATGATCGCGGTGATCTCGCTGCCTCCCGTCTGCAACAAGGCCTTCTTCACGCAGGGCCTCAACGTAAGCGTCCCGTCGCATGCCCACTGCAGTAACTACATGTTTGAAATCCAGACAGTTGGGGAAGATTTAATATTGCAAGTTTGAAAGTTAAATATAACTGAATCTTTTGAAATAGGGGAAGAAAAACCAACTGTGTCCTTGAGTGCCATGCGTCTAGATGTAAGATGGCATTTGAGACGGCGGTTTCATTGTCCATTGCTAAGAATTCCACCGCACGCTAAATACCACCAGAGAGGGCGCCTGCGTCCCAAACTGAGAATCCCTGAACTCGACCAAGAATTCGATTCTCTCCTTTTTCGATAGTTTGCCAACACGGCGGTGCAAATCACCACCTTCAGCATGATGAGTTTCATCTTGAAGAAAGTCAACAAGAACATCGAGTTCCTCGCGGACCACCGCTCAGACGTGTACACGCCGGACACGATGGCCGACCTGGTGCAGCAGTACAGAGAGATGCTCTGCAAGGTGAACACGAGAAAATATCATTTTAATACCCGAGGAAGTGAGCTTCTTCTTTTCTAAAATCATCTTGCTTTTGCTAGATTTTGCCCGATATGATGAGCGTCGTTTCAAAGTGGCAGTCGCTCAGCAAGAAGGACAAAGGGGAAGGAAGTCAGACCAACAAGGGAGGGAGCGCACAACGACCGGATAAAGAGGAGCAAGCCAGCTTATTAGGTACACGTGAAAAGTATGAATGATTGGCTCTTTGTTGCTCTGAATATCCAGATGTGAAAAGGGCAAAGCCAGTCGCTGACCAGCAGCCGCAGCCTTTCCAAGGCCAGTGCGTCCTTAGCGCAGCAAAGTAGGAGATCCAAAACAAGAGCTGGCGGATGACAGTGCTCAGTTTGAAGCAAATACTGGTGACTTACTGCGTGCGGTTTCTGCTTGTGCTGAAATTCAGAAGTGTCTCAATTCCCAAAGTAGGATGTGAAATGTAAATCGCAACATTTCTGAAATATCGGGGTATCATTTAATAAGTCTGAACTTCAGCTTTCTTGGATTGTGTGTTTTAGTAAAAACGAAGATAAAAAAAAAAAAAAAAAGTTGGGCACCACAACATTTGTGAAATATTGGAGTATCATTTAAAAAGTCTGAACTTCAGCTTTCTTGGATTGTGTGTTTCGTAAAAACGAAGATTAAAAAAAGTTGGGCATCCCTGTTCTAACGGAATCCTCACAATTGAGTGGACAAAATGTGTTGCAGCTCCTGACACCCCCGAGTTCATCCTGCTCAAAGCGCTCATCCTGCAGGTGGTCGGTCTGTACCAAAAAGTTGTGCCGTACTTGGTTATTTTTCCTGAAGGCATCGTGTCAGAGGGAGGCGTGAACGAGGAGATTGCCCCTGTCTTGCAGCATCAGATACTACAGCTGGCCTTAGACCTTCCTACCAGCAAATTCTCGTGGTTCCGCCTTCAGGAGGCATGAACGAAGAGATAGCCCCTGTCTTGCAGCATCAGATACTACAGCTGGCCTTAGACCTTCCTACCAGCAAATTCTCGTGGTTCCGCCTTCAGGTAAGAAGAACGTGAAAAAGGAGACATGTTAGGCATGCACATTTCTCAAGTCAAATCACATTTATTTCTATAATGCTTAATCACAAACAGTCTGAAAGGGCTTCACATGCCCACAGTTGACAATTATTCATGACGTTCCCTGAACTTAACCCCCAGGAAGGCAAGGAAAAACTCAAATAAAATGCTTCGGGAGGGGGGAAAAAAGAGAAACCTTGAGAAGGGGCCGCAGGTGGGGGAATCCCCCTTCCAGGATGATCAGGCTGCAGTGGATGCGGAGTGGGCAACATTTGACACAATATTGCACAATCCAATGTTAGTTTGAATGATATAAAAGTCCATTTAACAAGATGAGGACACTGCAGGGAGAGAGTTGGGTCCCCCTCTGAACAATGAAGAAGTCTTCATAGCAGCGCCTTCGAGTGGTCAGCTCTTGTCCCGCTCAGTCGGTGGCAAGAACATGTCTTTGGCATATGTTCATCAAAATACCCAGAGAATCAAGAATTTAAAATAGTTTTGAAGGGGCAGGCCTCTCACACCTCTGACTCCACCCCTCTCTCTCTGCTAAAAAAATCAACAGATGTACGTCAACAACCGTATTGCCCACAAAAGCTGAAAACAGAGTTCAGGAAAATCGTGCCCCAGATGCAAACGTTTTTGCCACGCTCATCGTGGCTCCTTGCGCATTCTCGTCTTGCCATCATTTGGTTGTGCCTTTCTCTTTCCACAGGAAGCGGCGGCTGACAACGAGAAGTCCGTGCTCTATCTACTCCTCAAGATGTTTGTTGGCAGTCGCTGCGGCCAACTCAAGACCTCCACTCGGATGCTTGTTGTTAAAGTAAGGAACCCGTTGTACTGTATACGTGCCCGGCTTCTTGCCCACGTCAGCTGGGATAGGCTCCAGCTCACCCGCTACCCTAATGTGGACAAGTGCGATAGAAAATGGACAGATTTATCTCCTGATAATCCTATTCAGTTCTCCAACATTGCCATTTTCATTCGTGAAATGGGCTTGGCAGGCCGTAAAACGCTGCGAGTAAAGTGCTCTGATGGGGGTTCTGCATGTACCCTCAATTTTTTACGGTGACACAAATGGTCACTGAGTCATGCTTTCACAATTCAAGCTCAAGTCGCACATGAAGGAAAGCTACAAGCGCTCGGTGGTCGAGGGTCCACATTAGCTTGCTGCCGGATTTTCAAAGTGGACAACCGTGTACTAGTGCTACCGTAATGAGTGTGATGGAAAATTTGAGATTATTTTTTCTGGCTGTAACCAACACATATTGGGGGGGAAAAAAATCGTCATTCAGGTGTTGAAGGACAGTGGTGTGTTTGAGCACACCTGGGCTGAACTGGAACTCTGGTTGGACCAGCTGGACCGAGTAGAGCCGAGCCAACAAGAGCAAGTCATCCAGTTCTTGGAGAGAGTGAGCAAGCACGTCCACGTTACCTCAGAAAATGATCACGGTGTCACCATTGGGAATAAATGATCCATTTCCTCTTTCTAGGTGTTCGTCAAGCTGGTGTGCCATTCGCACACGTACACAGATCAAATCGCCAGCCTGGTGCAGGAGGCGGCATACCAGCAGTCCAACCTGTGCAGCCAGGAGGGAGACGGCGCCAGTGTGTGTGTGTCCCACATCGACGGTGAGCCTCTTAAATGTCTTGGGTGTGCGATGCCTCATGGTGGAAACTTGGATTGTCTAAGCGCACCCTGTCTCTCTGCCGCCAGATGTCCTGGACATGCTGGACGTCATCATGGAGGGCAACGAAGGTGACGCCGACGAGTTCGGGCCACCTCTCAGTGAGGACCTTGTTGTTCAGACGTTCCCCTTCAGCGTGGCCGTCCCTGCCGCTCTGGAGGCCCGCAACAAACTTTCTCCAGACAAAGGTGACGAGCACTTCCTTTCTGAAATTATTGTGACGATATCCAACTCGTCTCCACTGCTCAACATGCTCAACCGGTCCTTTTATTGTTTCCTGCGACAAGACCACATTGATTTTTTTTTCTCTACCATCAAAATTTGCCAGAATTATTTTCCCATGTGAAAGCAAGGTTTTAAATGATAGTGTGTGTGTGTGTGTGTGTGTATATGCGGGTGTGTGTGCGGGTGTGTGTTTACTTCCCGTAGGGGCTGTTTTTGAGTACCTGTCGGCCGTGCTCTGTCATGTCCTGCACAGCCAGCGGGAGCCGCTTCCGCTGTGCCTGGGTCTGCTGCAGTACGACAAAGAGTTGGCGTCCTCCGAGCCGCCCGTTACCGCACACATCTCCGTCGTGCAGCTTCACCGATATTACTCCAAGTGGCTGCCGCAGCAGTGTCACGTGGAGCTGGTCAGTTTCAGTTATAGGTCTGAAGTTCAATATACATTTGGATGTATTTATTTTCTGGGGAGAAAAGTTTTTGCATGATGTCGTTTCTCCTGCCCTTTTGGTTCCCTGGTATCCATCTCAGACAGATTTGACAGTTAGTTTACCGGGTGATAATTCGGGGTGAGAGACCTATTATGTCATAAAGTCCCCATTAATGTGGGGCCCTAATGAAGTGGCCGCTACATTTTTTTTTTCTTCTTCTTACAGTTTAAATCATCAGAATGTCCGCCAGACAAAACATCGTCATCCTTCACTGCTCTATTGAAAGCGACATATCTGGATGGCTTAAGTTCCGTGCTGAAGGACACTTTCGGGACAAAGGTGGAGGTTGCCATCGCTTCCATGTCGGCCGCTGACCATCTGCTTTCTATCAAGCAGATTCTACTCTACATCAAATCAGCCGTGGACAACTTTGGCACAGTAAGAGAGAGCTAAAAAAAACAAAACAAAACAAAACAAAACACTTTCCAGTTATGACGCTCATTCGTGTTATTTATTTTGGTTCGCTTCTGCACAGTTTACACCAAACACTGGCTCGGCCATTTTGAAGAGCTTAATGCAATTGCTCCAAGATCTGGTGGTCAAGCTTCAAAGCTGGCAGGTGCCCTCGGAGCCTCAGCCCACAGAACAAAACAACCGAGATGGATCAGACCTCTTCCTGGACGTGAACCAGTCCTCCACTGTTGAGGCCGACAAAGGGCAGGTGAGGAAAAAAAAACACATTGACACGTTGAGTTATGATTTCAGATTTGGGAGGATGTACATCATTGAGTATAACTGGTGGAGAATCTGCAAACCAGAAGTCCCCCAGAGCCTCCATTGACTGTCATTCATGGTTTCCTTTTGTGTTTTTAGATGCTTCTCTCAGCCCTACGCTCCATTTTCAAGCATCCCTTCGTGGAGCAGTGGTATCTGTCTCTGGAACTGGCCACCCTGCCCCAGCACTCTCTGAACTCTGTCCGACTGAAGCGCGTGTGCGCTCAGCTGAGCGATGACATCACCACCCTGTTGAAGACGGGTGCGCCCACCCTGCGTGAGCTGGGTCGCACGGAGCTTATCGCACCCTACGCCGGTGCTATCCAGAAAGCCGTACACAGGGAGCTGCTGGCGACCAGTTCGCAGACTCCCAAGAGTCAGTCCAGACCTTTCCAGGCCCTCCTCTCCTTGCACAGCTACATGGACCCCTCCGAAGTGAGAGACGTGGTGTCCGCGTTACTGCTCCTCCCGCAGGAGAGGCTCGTTACCGCACAAGGCGAGTTGAGCGTCTACGGCCAGGCCGCGCTGCAGATTCTCACCGAGAATCAGAACGGGGACGACGGCCCCTTGCTGTCGCAGGCTCACCTGGGCGGGCTGGGCACGCTTCTGCTGTCCTGCTCCAGCCCAGCGCTGGAGGCCTTCCTGCTCCAGATGCTGTCCGGCGAGCCCGGAAGTGCCCGGCTCATCCACACCGACGTGCTGCAGCGCTGCCTCCGCCGCCCCCTCCGTGGCTCTCTGGCCATCGCGGACTTGCTGATGAGCAACTCCCCCACGCACCGCCTCTGCTTTGAGACGTGGTGCCTGCAGCCGGAGAACCTCCAGAACATGACCGACATGATGGGAAACTTCCTCCCGCTGATCAAAGCGTACTTGCTAGCGGCGACGAGGGAGGATCCGGCCACGCCCAAAGACGGTATGTATTGAAAATGGCAGAAAAATGTACGTTTTGTTTGCTCTTTTAGTACCTCTGCCAGGGAACTTTGCGACTATCATCGGGAGTGATGCCGCGGCACATTTGTTCGTGTGCCCTGATTTACTTCAAATTATGTATCTTTGTCCATCTATCATATAGTCACATCTAGAACACTTAAGCACTTTTCCACACGATGGCTGAAGGTACAGCTAACCTGTGTATCCGTCCGTTGCCGTTCAAACAGCAGAATAAAAGGCTCAGAGAAGAAATTGGGACTAATCATGATTCCGCGATGGAGTTTGACATTTTTTAACTGATTTGTTCAATAAATCGTTGAAAAAAAAAAAATAATGTGGCCCTAGCTGTAATGTCAAACCGATCTGAATCCAGATCTGTTCTGGATTTTGCATGTAGTAACAATATCGTTTCACTATGGAAAAAAAAAAATTACGTTCCATTTGGTACTTCTCTGTCGAATCCAATTTGAATCTCGTTTTCCAAGCTTGATTGTGATCTGATTCAAATTGTAAATCCAGTTTGAGTTCAGATCTGATCAACGGCAGATCTGTTCAAATGTAATAATTTAGTTAATGCTGTGGTGTAAATGAAATAGGAGAAAATGGTTTAAATGAGTTAAAATTGCAACAAATTCCTAACTTGGCAAAAATGTAAAGTGAGCATGAAAACATCATTTGAACAAAGATTTTATGCAAAACCAGAAACTGTAATGTCAAACCAAATTTAATTTGGATCTGATAAAAAAACATTGTGCATTTGTCAACAATGGAGATTTGACATGGACAACAAATTAAACAACTAATGACCATGTTTGTTTAGATTCTCCCGAATCTCATCCAATTTAAATAAAACTGAAGTCTGATCCCAATCTGATCCAGATTGGGGATTTGGTACGAATGTAAATGTAAAGTGATTAAACGTGTAAAGTGATTACATTTCCATCTGTTTTACTTGATAAATCACCTTCTACTTGATCTTATTTAATCCTGTATCTTGACATATTTTTGCAGTCCAAAAAACGGTTTTAAAAGCCCTGAAAAAGAATCTCCTGTCCAAGTTGATCCAGTCTGCTCTGAGAGACGTGACCCAAGCTGCCACCGTGGTTGAAGCACTGGCGGCTCTGATCAAGCTCTCTGCAGACATCGCTGACATCAGGGACTTGATGGATATCTTGCCGGATGCCCTGCAGAAGGAGGACAGTTTTGAAAGGTCACTTTCAGCACGCCATTTACAAGTTTTCGGCTCAGAACATGTCCGATTCTCAAGTGTTTTTTTTTTTTTCACCCCGCCCCTGTCAGGTGGCAGCTGGTCGACGTCATCACGGAGAAGCTGCGTGACTGTCCAGAAGAAGAAGTAACGTGGAGGAAGCGGGTCACCACATCGGCCCTCAAGTGTCTGATCGCTTCTTACGGTCGCGGCAAAGATCAGGCCGCAACCACCCCCACCCACGAGCGGAGCGTCTTGGAAAGACTGCAGAGACTCGTGGTACATTAACGGGGCACGCGCAAGAAAAATCATTGCAAAAAAAAAAATCATTGAATGGATGAAAGGTCACTTTCAGCGCGCCATTTACAAGTCATCGGCTCAGAACATGTCCGATTCTCAAGCGTTTTTTTTTTTCACCCCGCCCCTGTCAGGTGGCAGCTGGTCGACGTCATCACGGAGAAGCTGCGTGACTGTCCAGAAGAAGAAGTAACGTGGAGAAAGCGGGTCACCGCATCGGCCCTCAAGTGTCTGATCGCTTCTTACGGTCGCGGCAAAGATCAGGCCGCAACCACCCCCACCCACGAGCGGAGCGTCTTGGAAAGACTGCAGAGACTCGTGGTACATTAACGGGGCACTCGCAAGAAAAATCATTGCAAAAAAAAAAATCATTGAATGGAATCGTTTCGCGTTGGTTTTGCCGTTTTGACTTTTGACCGTGTGCCATCTCTGCGCAGACATCAACTGACGAAATCGCCACGGCCGATTGGAACGCCTTTGTGAAGAACGGACTGAAGTGAGCGAGTCATTATTTATTCTTTCATTTCTTGACAAACAAATATCATTGCGGGTGTAATCTTCTGCAGGTGCCGCTACAACGATGAGAATTTCCTCAACACCCTGAGGAGCCTTTTGGAAGCGATGTACCAGCCCAGCGACATCGCAAACGATCTAATCCCGCTCGCCACCGTCCACATGATGACCAGCAGCCACTCCTTGTTCCTGCCCACCATGTTGGACTCTGACGACGACGGCTCGAGCAGGAGGCAAGCCAAAGGTGCGGAAATTGCTTCAGAATAACAGAAAACTCGAATTCTGGCTTTTCAATGAATAGTTGGACTTTTTCTTTTTTTTCCCTCTTCAGAAGCTTTGGTGTCACTCCTACAGGATAACAGAAAACTCAAATTCTGGCTTTTCATTGAATAGTTGGACTTTTTCTTTTTTTCCCTCTTCAGAAGCTTTGGTGTCACTCCTCCTCTGCTTGGTGAGGAAATGTCCAACAGTGTGCAATATGAATCATTTCTTGGTACTTTTGGGAGCATACGGAGCCACACTCAGCGATACAGGTAATGTCAGGCGTGGTTGAATCCAGATCTGTACAATCTAATTTTGTTAACTTTTTTTTTTTTTTCTTTTTTTTTTGCTTGTATGTTAGTTTACTTTTTGTCTGTGTAACTGCGTTTTCTTTTGCCATTTTCACATCTTTGAGTTAAGTCATCCAAAAGCTTTTACAGACTGTAATACAACAACAAAGAATCGTGTTGATGGTTCTTTTTTTTTTTTCTTTTCATCGCATCTTGTTTTTTGAAACAGATCAGACAATACTGCTGCTCCTTCAGGAATACGAAAAAAATAATGTCAGTCTTCTCAAATTTCAGTGAGTACCATTTTATTTCTTCTTCCTTTCACTAATTGTAACTAATGACCAACCCAGTCACGCTTTGGGAATTCCCTCCAACAGGTCCATTATTTGGGGGCCAGCAGCTTTGGAGCACCACAAAACCAGGAAGAGTTTGGGATCGTCTCTGTGGAAGCAGACCCACTCTGATGACCTCTTAGCCTTGCTGGACGCTGACAAGATGCTCCGAACCATCACGCACTATCCGCAGCGGCGCGGGATTATCCCACAGGTTTGCTTGGGAAAATGTTGCATCGGCACAATTTTTATCTGACAAAAAAAAAAAAAAAAATCAAAAACATAAACAAAAATGCATTTTTTTGTCAGCATTTTTGGAAGGGTTTTTTTTTTTTTGGCGACTTAATTTTTTTTTTTTTTTTTAAGTTACCAGCTGGATCTTTTGGACCAATGGCTTCCCTGGTATTCAAACTCAATTTCTGGGGCATTTACAGGCAGATAAAGTGCAGCTGTTCTACTTCAAAGCTGTGAAAGATCTCAGCGGTTTGTACGACCCTTGCTTCCTCCTCCCTCTCTTCAGCGCCATCCTCCGACCAGGTGAGTAAACGCCACTTTGGCTCTTATGGCCCCTCGTCTTTCCCCTTCACGCTTGCGTCTCCTGCGGCAGAGTCTGTGGTGGACTGCTTCAAGTTCGCCTCGAGCCACGCCCTCGGCCTGACCTTGGCGGCTCTGAGCAGCTACGACACCAAGGTGCGAGCGGCGGCGTACCACGTGCTGAGCTGCTTCTACCAGCACCTGGAGGCCGCCCGCTTCAGAGAGAAGCGGCAGGTACAAAAAAAAAAATTCATGTCAGTCATCTCAAAAAAGAAAATAAAATCATTGGTTACATTCTCCTGGCCGACAGCTGCTTTACTTGCTGGACATGGTGAAGAACGGCGTTCGCCAGCAGAATCAGAGGCTTCCCTTTGTCTTGACCACGTACCTCAGCAAAGTGGCTCAGCTGATGCTCAAACCTGGTGGGTGACCTTAAAAAAATAAAATTAATTCCGGCGGTTTTACTCACAGGCAACTTGTTGAGTTCACACTTGATGGATTGGCAGTCAGTCAAGTTCCCTTACTCGTCGGGCACGGACGATACAGTCTGTGTTGGTGTAACTCGGAGGTGTCCAAACTACGGGCCGGGAGCCATTTGCGGCCCGCCATCCATTTTTCAGTGGCCTGCGACATGACCAAAAAAAAAAAAAAAGACTTAAAAAACTGACACTTTTCTCTATATTCAAAGATACAAATAAACCATTTATGATTGAAAGCAGCACACAATTTCTCTTCAAAACACTAGTGAATAAAGATCATTCAATTTGAGGGGCAGAAATAGTTTCGTCCACTCTGTGCTCTATGGCCGATTGATGAAGACGTCACATTAGTGATCTTCAAGTGCCTGAAAAGTTGACACCGTACTCCAGTGTATTTTCTTCTTTTTTTGGTTCTGAATGTGGAGATGGGATTTGGCTGCTGTTAGGTGCAGAGCCGGATCTCCTCTATGAGATCGAGGGCTGTTGGCCACCCCAAAAACTTGGAAAAATCCTCAACCTTTTGCCTTAACGCCTTTAACAGAACGCTGTTGAACAATACGAACAATATGGAATTGTTTTGTTTTTTTTCTTGACTGGCTTTAGCGTGTTTCAAAAAGTTGACACAGTTTAAAGTCGCCCTTTCATCCTTCCATTTTTCTGTATGCGGCCCTCACCCGAACAAGTTTGGACACCCCTGGTGTTTCTAATGTTACCCCTGTGTCGTTCCCCTCTTTCTCTCAGAGGACTACATGTACGTGGTTCTGAATCGATTCCTGCTGTCCCATCAGAGTTTGGACATGAGGAGGGTGCCCGAGTTCTTTAAGCTCTTCTACAGCTTTGACCTGGAGGTAAAGCGCACCAGCGAAAGCACTTAAAAACACAAACAAACCCTCGCTGTTGAATGTCTCCACCGTTCAACCTTGATGTGTTTTTTTTTTTTTTTCGTGGGTCATGGGAAGGTGGACTGACTGTTTGTTTTTTTTGTCCAATAGCACAAGACCGAGCGGGAGTGGATCCTGAGCGTGCTGGAGGAAGGCATCAGTGACGGCCACTGCTACGACATATGCAACCAGCAAGGCATCTTCCACAGCCTCCTTGGCTTTGGCAGCGGCCCCTTGTGTGACGAACACGCTCAGGTAGTTGACGGAAGGCTGGAGTTGGCATATATTCACCGATCACGGCTGCTGCCTGGAATGATTGCCCTTTCGGTTGCCCAATGACGACTTGGGCAAACGAAAGGGCACACGATCGCCGCGTTGGCCATCCAATTAAATGTCGAGGTGAAAAACGGAGCGACTTGTTCCACCAGGCGCAGATCGTCCGGGTGTTATGTCAGGCGGCACGTGTGACCAGAGCAGCGTATGACCTGAGCAAAAGCTGCGGCCTTCTAACGTGGATCATACAGGTGGTTGAAAAAAGGTGAGCCTTAGGGCCCCCCCCCACTCACGCAGTGCTCCGTGTTGTGGACGGCGACACTGAAAGCATCGCCATGTCAGATGTTAGGAAGGCTCCAACTGCATTTTTCCTTGATAAAACCTGGCACATGTTACCACACTTCCAGGTTACGTAATTCCAACCACTTAAATACTGAACTCAAACTCAGACAAATGGATGTTTTTTTGGGGGGGGGTTCCATTTTCTAATTTTGACCTAAGCCTGAATGAAATTGATGTCTGAAAAATCTGACATTTTTTTCCATTTTGTGCATTGTGTTAAAGTCATGACTGTGAATATTGATGAAAAACAAATTGCCAAGCGGAAAGGAAAATAGCAAATGACACACAGATTGATCATTGTCACCCTCAGGAACCTTGAGCAACATTTGCTCGGCTCCATCATAGAGCTGCTCCATGTGTTGTGGTGGACAAATCTTGGGAAGAAGGAGACCGCCACGGACAGAGGGGGGACCTCCACATTGAAACAAGAGGCAGCAAAATGTCTCCCGCTGCCGCTCATCAACGAATTCCTCTGCGTGGCTTTAGCCATCACCCGCCGCTTGAGGTAATAAACACTGCTGCCGACGTGGGAAGCGCCTCTCGGTCGAGGACGCCTGATGTTTGTCTTCCGTCAGGTTGGGCGTGAAGGCCGACCAGCTCGGCGCACTGCTGCAGACCCTCTCGTCCGTACTCCGGCATCGGACGAGCGCCAGCGAGCGAGCCGAGCGAATGACGCTGCGCGCTCAGCCTGTGGCCTCGGCCGAGGCCCTCGCGCTCCTGCTGTGCTGGAGCACTCTCTCTGGAAACACGGCACTCCTGGACCACGTACGGAACTTGTGTGAAAAGCACAAAGTCAAGGAACTGACTGGTGAGTGCAGTTTATTGGAGCGCCTCATGAGTAATGAGGCAAATGGTAATAAAAACGCAAGAGAGACACAAAAAAAAAAAAAAAGGGAGGGAGAGGGGTCAAGAATCTGCATTTTCACATATAAATTGAGGGCTAGCTATCAGATTTGACATTTAATGTGCCCCTTTTAAGTGACTGCAATCAGCCTGTTTTGAGGGGGCGGTCCTAGTAGTGGTTGGCTACCTGTTGAGACCCAACTTTCCAAAAGTGAGTGTGAATCATGACGTGCACGTGAGCCCCCGAGCAGTTAGTCAAATTGTGCGTTGTATTTTCACCCGGGGTGGTAGCACTTCATCGCCAAGGCACCTAATTACACATTTACCTGCTTTTTTTTTCCACTCACACTTGATAGGCATTTCAGAGAGGCAAGTATTTGTGGACAAGCAATTAAACATTCCATTTACCGTATGTCCCTTTGTAAAAACGCAGACATAACTAGCCCGACTGACAAATCTCTACCGAAAAATATGGACTTTTTTTATTTCGTGTTCTCAAGCTACTGCGCCCCCTCATCAGGGAAAGTACATGCGGGAAAATAAATGGTAAACATATTTAAGTTCCCTTTCCTAAGGATTCCATTCACATTTTAGTCCTTTTTTTTGGCTCTGTTTGCCCCCTCCCCCTCTTTTTTTTCTGCGCAACAATGGAATTACATTGTGATTCCCTCGCCCTGTGGTCATTTGTGTTGTGATGAATATTTATTGGGAATGTGGTCCAACAGAAAAGAGATAATGATGGAAAACTATTTGAGTGTTTATTATAATTTGTCCTCCCTCATGGCATCAATACAGGAGGGTCCGTGACGGACAAGACCCGGGCTAAAGGCTCCCAAGGACGCACAGGAATGGAGAAGCCGCCAGAGGACGCCGAGACAGAAAAACGACAGCAGAGTCTCCTAGCGGAGTGCAGAGAGTCTCTCGGCAGCATCTTTATGCACTGGCGACCGGCTTTTGGCCTCGGTCAACCACAAGGCAGCGAGTGTCCCAGTCAGCTGGCTGTGGACACGGCCCACCTGCTCGCCAAGTGGTCCCTCAGGTGGCTAGTGGAGGGCTCGTACGACGAGGAGCGCTCGAGGAGCTTTTTGCGCTGGCTGGAAGAGAGCGTGATGGCGCACGAGGAGATTGTTGATGCGCTGCTGCGGGATCCCGGCCCCAAGGCAGACCTGCTTCGCCTCTACCATCGCGTCTGCCACACGCCCACGGGGGAAACGTTCCGCTTGTTCACCTCTGTCATGACGCGCTTGCTGGAGAGGCGAGCATCATTTCCGGAGATGCATCGGGCAGTCATCTCTGCTTGCCGGCCAAAAGGCACTCAAGATGAAGCGAAATGCGGTAAGGCTTTTAAAACGTTAGCCCCGCTTGTTGCATCCAGTTGTTTCCCAGGGTGTGTTCCAAAATTGGATATTTAATATTTGTAAACTTTTGGTCAGGTTCGTCAACATCATCTAATCTAATAGATGCATGTTTTTTTTTTTTTTTTTTTCCTCTCCCCCATTCTAGAAGCGGGCCTGTCTCTGCTGTCTTTGTATGTGCACGAGGTGTGGGGCGGAGCCGACTCGCCACAACTCTTCCTGTCTCATGTCGCCATGGTGATCGCAGGCAGGCGTGAATCGGCCGTCAGAGCCGTCTGTCGGGACTTTGCCGCCGTGAAAACGTGAGCGCTACATCGTATCGTGTGCGTTCCCGTGTGTACCGTCAGGTTCAAAGGCGACTTTTTCAGGACCAAAGCAAGTTCAATTTGTACACTTGAAAAAGGCCATTTATTGGCATCCGTTTTCCAGGAATGCCCCCTGTACAATTGTAGTGGAAATGTGACATTTAACAGTGTTAACTTATAATTAACTGTTAACTTGTATCACACATTCTGCTACCTGTAAGTGTTGCTTTCCAAGTTCATTGCTGTGCAAGGTTGTGTGTCAGACTTTTAACCCCTACCGAGAGGGAAAAAAATGGTATAAGAGGGGCCACACCCCACTGCTTGGGGAGTCGCTCCATCGCTGATCTGTAAATGGTGTTTTTCCATCATTTGGAGCTGAAATAAATCTCACTGTTGTACAAAGACTTTCGTTGTCTTGGTTTCCCTGGACAAGACACGCTCACACTGAATTGGATGATGTATTTCTCCTTTGACTTCGGCATCTGCGTCTCCTGCAACGAAACGAGACGGATGTGTCGCCGGGGTTTTTATGCACCAGAAGGAGCAGCACAATGTCAACAGGTGTGGAACCATGAAATCATAATGCACAAACTGTTTCATTCTTTGCCTGACATTAAATTATGTTATTGTTGCAGGGTGTTATTTTTCTTATTAAAAATGTTTTGAGTATTGTTTAGGTAGCTGATATGGAAGAATGTCATTCCCATTCATTTCAATGAGGAAAGCTGATTTGAGTTACTCGTGTTTTGAATTGAGTTTTTGTTCCTGCAAATAACTGAGAATACGTTCCCTAAAAAAAAAAAAAAAAATCTTCGAATATTCAGGTGCTCACCGTTTTGATGAAAATGTGACATTGCAACTCACACTCACCACGGCACGCGCCCGCTGCCTGACGCGAGATTCAAGGAGAGGAAGAGGATCCCCACAAAGGCAGTCAGACAGATCCAAAATGCAATAACGATGGAGTCTGAAAGAGGTGCTGGATTTGGTTACGTGAGAAGAAGGAAAAGAAATAAGCAACATGACTCACATTTGTTGTATTTCAACTTGCTTTGGTCCACAATGACTGGATCCACATAGCCGTAATAATATTCCCATCCAGTGGAAGCCAATCTGGTGGAGTTGTCCATTGTGGTCTGATTTTGAGTGATGCTTCTCTAGCAAAGTTGTGGAAGGAATGAAACAAGCCACGTTGTCCCAACTGAAAGTTGTCCTTGACTCTTCGCAGAAGAGGCGTGGTTCTACTTTCACCATATGTAGTTTTGCCTTTTAGTTTCAACAAAAATAAATTACATTTTTTTTATCTTATTTGTTTTCACTATTCAAGGTTGGTCAAATGCACTTTTGAAAAAGATATTGTTATTTTGATCACGTGCAGTTTTTTTCCTTGGCATCTGTTCCTTAATAATTTTTTTTGAGGACAAACGGCATATATTTTTTTTTTACCAGAACATAATTCTAGATTTTCGAGGATAAATTGTTTTTTTTAATTGTTTGTCAGAACATGACTTAATTTCCTCGTGAAACTTACACGATAATATCAGAATATTACGAAATAGAATATCCGAGCTTGAAAAAAAATTAGTACTGTACTGACAAAATGAACTTGTCCTGTCAAACTACTGCAGTTTACACTCCAGCCTCAGGGTAGCGACAGTCGCCCAACAACGCCCCGTTGCCAACAACCAAAGGACGTCAAGGAAGAAGTCCGCCGCGAATGTGACGTCATTCGCTAGTCAGCACGTATTTCGGGGCGGTACGCGGCTAAAGCTAAGATGCTAAACGATGTAATCCTCGAAGAAACCGATGTTCGTTTTTCTTTCGCTTAGTTACGTGGTTTTTATTTTCTACGTCGACGCGCATGGTGACGAGTAGCAAGAATAAGAAAAGGCGTATTCTTTAACCGGTTTTGTGAAGGCCAAAATAAAGAAGAATGGAAGCGGTGAACGCGTTCAACATGGAGGTAAAGTTCGCTCGTGTTCCGAACCTGGCTGGTCTAAAGGGCGACAGCAGCTAACGGCTATCGCTTCATGCTGTCTAATCGTATCAATGGACACCGTCATCGAAATTGTGCTGGTGTGAAAATGAAATGCTTCTTCAATTTGCTGTGTGTTCCTTTCACTCGTCCTTTGATTCGACTCGTTGGCGCCTGTGCTCGGCAGTCCGCAAAGCAAGGCCTTTCGGTTTCTGTGCTAAGCTAACTGCTAATGGAGGTCGCTAGGTTACCTCACATAGGCCACGTTGTATTATATTATTTGCATTTCTTTGCAAGAGGCGTGAACGTCGCTAGTAAGCTTTGTCGCGTTTTAAGCAACACGAAGTGTTACATCTGCTGTGCAATTAACCCAAGGCGCTGGTTTTAAGCTGTTTATGGTAACACTCACCTGCGATTACCACCAAACCATTTCTTATTATTTTTACCGCAGGTGTCAACTCAATGTAGTTCGGGTACCACATTCACCCTAATTTTGATCAGAAATGGGCCGGACCAGTATAGAAGCGGCATGCTAAGCTTCAAATTCCGACTATTCCAAAATGTTCCCTTTTTCTGTGGCGCGAAGTCATTCTCATTCATTTCTTCTTTCAAATCTTTTGAGCAATCTGAATATTATCACCAAAAATGAGCCCTGTTTCTATTTTTTTTCCATGAAAACTCTACTCTATCAATCATCTAAAATGTAATACATTTCCACAGCCATTTGGAAATCTAAGAGAGCATGAACTGACTTGTTACACCAGACGAACTCAAGTGGGAAATTTCAGAAAGCGGATTAGTTGTCTCCCATACCTGAAAATGTATACTGTACACAAAAATCAAATGCAAGTTTTGTTATTGCGTGATAAAAAGATTACAGATTCCACCAAAACAACCTATTTTTTTAAACTGTAGCTGATATTTTGCTGTACTCTGTCTCATAAATTCCCTCGACACAATTAATTGATTTTCACAGAGCCAAGTTTCCACAGCGTTTTACAAGACGTGGGATGACTTTGCTTCTGAAACTTCTTTCAGCCTTCACAAGTGGATCAACATAAGGCAATTGTCAATTGTTGTTGCCTGTGTGAGTTGATGTACAAAAGCTTTCAAGTGTCACAAAGGGGCATGTCATGTAAAATCCAATTACTATGCTCAAGAAATGGCAAATAGGTTTTGAAGGGCAGTATAAGTCACTGTTGTAGTTTTAGCTGTAGTGATTTTTGTATTTTACATAGAAATGGCCCCACCGATTAGTCGGTCAGCCGATATTTGTTTTCAAAACGGGCAGGTTTTTGCCAACTGCTTTTATTTTTTTCATCTTTTTAAAACACGTTAAAGGTGGAAGTCAAGGCATAGCTTTTCTTTGCAATATGTTCGATGCATCCCCACTACAGTAGTCTAAACCCGGCATTGTGATTAATGTTGCTTTTGTGGAACTAAGCAGCAAAATCCACTCATTATTCATTTCAGGCGGATGGTTGATTTTGCTTTATGGCCATGTGACGCTCTCAAGCTTAGTTGTGCGGCACTGTGATGTCATTTTCAGTTGCCGTCGAGTGGCAAAATAGCCATTCCCGTGAGAGAGATAAAAACCGGTGGATTTTGCTGCTTTATTCAGATTCCACAAACGCAACGTTAATCCAAGTGTTGCGTTCAGACTGATGGGGGCACAGAGAACATATTATTGTACTGACCATCTTTGATTTGATTTCCCCTTGAACACATTACAATCTAAGAGTACAATGCCCCCCCCCCCCAAAAAAAAATCTGACAGTTTTTTGATGATTTTTCTCCCTGTCGTAAAGTTAAACAAATACTAAAAGACGGTAAATTGCTTATCAGAACTTTATTCTGCCAAATATTGGAATCGACATTGGTCTAATTAAAAAAAAATGGTCGTGTCATAGTATTTATCTTTATTTAACATGTTCTTAAGTAGTTGTCTCTATCTTGGTTTTTGTTGTCCTGCTTGTGTAACAGTAAAGAGCAAAAATAGTTCTAATGCTCGACTTGGAAGTGCACATTTTTGACATGTATGGCTCGGATTTTGCTGGGTTTGATTCCATTTCCAGTGAAGTGATGATGTTTGTTTTTGTGTGTACCCCTCAGTTGTTTTCCATGATTGACATGAAGCCTCCGATATCTCGAGCGAAGATGATGTCTATCACCAAGGCGGCCATCAAAGCCATCAAGGTAGCCTGCGGCTGCTCGGGATATGAATGTGGCTTAACTGTGGGTGGACATTTGATTATGTTATTTTATTTTATTTTTTTTCCCCTAGCTCTACAAACATGTGGTCCAGATTGTTGAAAAGTTCATCAAGAGGGTATGTTGCCATTGTGTGCCAGATGGTGTAGACGACTTGATGAATTCATTTTCGGTTTGCCTCTTGATTTGACTTCTTTTAATTAGTGTAAACCCGAACTGAAAGTTCCCGGCTTGTACGTGGTGGACTCCATCGTACGGCAGTCGCGTCATCAGTTTGGTGTGGACAAGGATGTCTTTGGGCCTCGCTTCTTGAAGAACTTCACTGACACCTTCCAGAATCTTTACAACTGCTCGGAGGACGATAAGGTTCTCACCCTCTGTGTGATTTTTTTTTTTTTTTTTTTTTTTTTTTTTGGACATGATAAACCTTGACACAGTGTGGGAAGCTGAACTTATTTCTTTCTTATTTGCATCAGAGCAAAATTGTCCGCGTGTTGAACTTGTGGCAGAAGAACGGCGTGTTTGACATGGACATCATTCAGCCTCTGATGGACATGGCGAATAACGTCCCGTCACCTGTGCCATCAATTGAGGGTAAGAAGGGAAAATCATGTTAAATGTTTCTTTTGGAAATTTAAGGACGCAATCTCTTCAAGGATGCAATTTTTTTTTTGGGGGGGGGGCGTCTATTTCGGAAATAATATAAATATCTGTATGTTTTGTGCCGTCCTTGAATTGTAATTTTTATGCGAGAGAGCCCTTTGCACCGGAAAAAAAGAATGCACGATGTGGTTATTTTTTGGGGTTTGCTTCAAGGCCTTGCTATTGGGTTTGGATAGTGGAGGTTTCATACATGCATTGTGATGTGTACCGTATTATGATATATATTCAGAGCACATATTTTGTCCATATTTAAAATAACATTTATGGAGATCTTTTACACATTGATACATATAAATAAATCTGACAAAAGTGCCCCTCCCCACATGTGAACATTTCCCACAGAGCTGCAGCCTCCTCCCGCAGCAGCGGCCCCCGTCGCACCTCCATCACAGATGCCGACTTGCGATGCCTTAGCTGCGGTGGCCCAGCTGTTCCAGTCCCCGCATGGTCAGGAGGTGAGTGAGTGTTTGCTGTCAAGTGTTGTGCTCAGGAATTGTTCACAAAGCCCACGTGTGTGCTGCCGTAGCTCCAGAGGATGCTTCACAGTTTGCAGCAGGCAGAAAGGACCCACGCGGCCAGCGGCACAAACGGGCCAAATGCTCACCAGCTGAATGCGGCCCAGGCCGAAATGCTCAATGCGCACAGTGGAGAAAGAGGCACCCTGGCTGAGGTAGTTGCATACCGTCGACACGTAGCATGGTTTCACCTTTTGTCGCTCAAAATCTGATTTTTTTTTTTTTTTTTTTTTTTTTTTTTTAATCCCCAGAAACTGCTCGACAGGTTTGAGTATGACGACGAGCCTGAAGATGTTGCACCAAATGACCCGGCGGGCTCTTTGTGAGTAACCTTTTCAATCCTGACGCAAAGTATCAACCGATAGCATGATAGCAGTGAATGTTAATAATCGCACTTGGTGTTAAATTGACACATTGAGCGTATGTGTCGGTCACGCCGCATGCTACTGTATTTCATTTTTGCGCCGACAGAAACGTCTCCGGACAGTTGCACGACATAGAGATGGCTCATCCACATCCACTGGGAAAGAATGCAGGCAGCCTTGAGGTATCGACTCAATACGTTGAATGAAGCCTTGCTAAATTTTAAACCTTAAACCGAGGAAGAAGTAAAAATACACCGAAAACATCGTTCACGAGAATGCGAGTCGAATATTCAGCAGCAACTAGCTATGCATTAAATTTCATGGTGCGGCACCGCCCCTTACACTGATGAATTATTCAGTTTAATTCCTATACCATGAGCGCATCCTGTTTTTACAAGTCCTGGCCCCATTGTAGTTTTGCTTTAAAATGTGTTTGCGCTGCCTCAACGAGGCAAAAATGCAGGCAATGCATTTGGAGTCTGGATGGGCACCTAGTTGTCATTCCACTGAAAGCTGCACTTGACGTTGGCCTTCAGCGGAGGTTGAGCATCTCATTTGTACGAGACAGGGCAGATTTCAGGGAGGCTTGAGAAAGACGATGTCAAGCGTCTTTTATTCACGATCCTTATGCTGCTCCGATGAAAGCATGACACGTGAACACTTTTGAACAGTGAGTCAAAATACATGCACTGAAGATCAGCAAAACAATCTCATAGCCCGCGGTCATGTCGCACTGCGCATCAGTTACCAGTCGATCTGCTAATGTTCCAGAACTGCGGAAATAGTGCGCCTTTTCCGGACATGGGCTGTTATTTCACCTGCAATGTATTTAATTTTTTTTATTCTCAGTACGGTGGCGTGGCGAGTGATGCCGAGCGTCACATGTTGTCCGACGGATACTATTCCAGAAGCGACCCCCAGAACTCCAAATCACAGGTATACCCCATTGACACAAAACGGAGGTTGACGCCGGCTACCCATTTTGCCGCGTCATTTTGTCGAGCAGGCGGATTCAAGGGAGGAGCCATCCACACAAAGAGAAAGCCGACATCGAGCCTATGGCAGAAGAACAAGATCTGGCTCCATGTAAGAGGCGGCGAATCTTCGAGATTTGATCCAGCATGACACCTGAAATAGTAATACGCTGCTTCGATCCGTAGATCTCCGAGGAGAAGAGGGTCGCGATCGTCATCGCGCTCGAGAAGGCCAAGGTACCGACGCTCCAGATCGCGCTCGAGAGAAAGCCGCTGGCGGCGCTCCCGTTCGCAGGACAGAAGCGAGCGAGAGCGCGATCGAGTGCGCCGGCAGAAAGGTCTCCCGAGCATGAAGAGCCAGACTCTCAGTGGTATGTGCGCGCGCCTCCGAGAATATCAGAAGCTATCTAACAGTGGTGGGACTCTCTCTGAGGGGAAAAGACTCTGGGTTCAATATCTCCCGGCTGCCGCGGGAGTTTTAGGTTTTGAAATTCTTTACTCTGCCATTGAGAAGAGAGTCAGCCCTTTTATTGGCGCTTATCTTGTTCCTGGAACCAAATTGATCATTTTTCCACTTGGACAAATATTGCTGCAGACTCGCGCAGCGTATCTTTTTGTACAGCAAATAATAGAGGTCCCACTCACGCCGTTTGACAATGGCCTGTAGCATTTTACTCTGTCAAGCACCCAAGATATCTGTCGGTTTGAGAAGAAGCTCCAGTAGAGCCGCATTCATTTTGATTTTGTTTATCAGTGTGCAGCACCACACTGTGGGTTGGTCAACTGGACAAAAAAACACAGCAGTCGGATGTCATCTCTCTCCTGGAGGAATTTGGCCAAATTGAGTCTGTCAACGTGAGTGTGCTCCGTGCCGCATTGAGCTCATCGCCAACTTCGAAAACAGAGCGACGCTGATGACGCCTTTCTGGTTTGCAGATGATTCCGCCAAGGGGTTGTGCTTACATCGTGATGGTCCACAGACTTGACGCCTACACGGCCTTGAACAAGCTCAGTCGGGGCTCGTACAAAGTCAATCAGAAACCTGTGAAGGTACAGCTACCGCATTCGACCTTGTCTGTAAATTATCCGGCCGCTTTTGATGCAATTTCTGACACCGTTGGTGCTTTTTTTTTTCTTCTTTAGATTGCGTGGGCGTTAAACAAAGGCATAAAGGTGGCGCACAAAAAGTTCTGGGACGTGGAGCGAGGAGTCACCTACATCCCCTGGGCCAAAGTGAAAGCCGAGGAGCTGGACAGCTATCGAGCAGGTGGAATGCTGGACCCCGACACGCTCAGCGAAGGTAAATGAACCCTTCTTCCATTTTTAGCCCACTTGCACGAGTTGCGCTTTGCTCACATTCCCTCTCAATGCTCATTGCTCAGAGTGGAAAAGCGTTCTGGACCTAAACAAGCATCCGATGGCGGGCGCGAACGGCACGTTGGAAAACGCGCCGGCAGACGGGAGCGTCGAGGCTCAGATTCAGGTAACGCTAATGCAGTCTTTAAAATCTGTCCTTTCTCCTCCTGCTGTTGTTTGTTTGTTGCTTAATGACCTCTTTGTCGGAGGCGCACTTCAAAAAGCTCGTGACGTGATGGGGAAAATAAAATGTAGTCTCTCACAAGTAGTGGAGCGTATGTGAATCAGCTTCATTCTTACGCACCGGAGTCACACGTGATGTCTTCAGCAGCGAATGTCCAGCACTGTCTCATCCATTCCAGTGGTCACACAAATGCCACTTAAGACTGGAAACAAGGAACCTTGCGTTTGTGTGACACGACTTAAAAAGACTTTGCTGATGCATGTTCACATGCATAAAACAATATGACAGAAATCTCTTCGGGGAAATGTGTACAAACCTGTAAAAACACAGATGACTTCATGCCACCATAAGGTGCCTTTTAAGATGTCTTCATTTCACCCTAAAAGCTTTTCCGTTCAAATGGGAATATTCTTTGTATTCAGCTGTTACGAGGTTAGAAACCAGAGTCGTCAACCCCCCCGCCCCCTTTTTTTTTCTTAATATAAAGTAACTGCAAGATGACAGGGTGGACAATGGCAGAGGGAACGGCTGACTGTACGGTTGAACGAATGGATTTGGTATTTCTAAAAGGTTCTTATCAGTTGATATATTTCACAGTGACAAGTAGCTTGGTAACAGCTACCAAGCAAAACCGAAGTGTCAACCGGTATTTGGGACGCAGCATTGGCACCCCCTAGTGAGGGAGGATGCGGTTAACCAACCCCTAAAGGGGTGGAGAGCAATTGTAGGGAGAAATGCAAAATGTTCTTTACGATCAACGAAATAGTATATAACATGACCTCACGGACCTTTTTTTTTTCCAAATAACTAACAATAAAACTGCTTCTTTGGTCGAATTTCCTTTAACCACAGCAGTTGGTAGAGCAGTGTAGAACAAGCAGAAATGAAGGGACAAAAATTGTAAAACTAAGCCAACACATTTTAAGACGCTGGTCATTATTGGTGCAAGTATTTGGCCACTTTCAGAGTTTCCTGACTCTGCAAAATGTTTGTGATTGCCGATTCATTCAAGCGATAGTTACTCTGAAGCAGATTTTGGTGCTAAAAACGAGAGAGCCTGCCGCTAAAACGGCCTCTGATTAAGTTGCCGCCAATATGGCTGGTTGATGACAAAAATCAAGATGCGCTCATTTGACAAATGCGATGTTGAACTTATACGTCACCAGATGATGATGCAGCTCTTTCAAAAGAGGTAACGGATAGTGCTGTGTTATTTTAACGTGTGCTGACGCACGCGTAATTGATTGTGCCGATTGATTTCGCTTCCAGTGTTTCCGAATAATGCGCTGTAGTTCAGGGGTGTCAAACTAATTTGGCTTGTGGGCCACTTTGTACTTGCGGCTACCCTTGGAGGGCCGGGATGACGAAATGAATGTTTCAGTGTATTAGGAAATATACCTGTACAAAACAAATTGACGGATGACTCGTTTTGAAGTCAAGGATAATAGTTTGTTCAAGTTACGGTAGAAAGGGTAGTTAAAAAAAAAAAAAGAAATCTTAATGTTACTTATTACAGGTGATAATCTGAAATTTTGGTTCAGATTTTAGCAAGGATCTTGAAAGGGCACATGATTTGTTTTGGCGATGTGGCGGACCGCATCTGGCCTTGAGTTTGCCAATTATTTTTTTGGTTTTTGTGATTGACCCTAATTAGCAAATTTACAGCCACAGTGTTTACGCATATACATTAATCTGTGGTGGACTGCCACTAATGTGTTTTGGCCAGCGATATTAGTTTTTCGGCTGTTTCTCCATAAATGTGAGTTGAGCGTTAATGGCAGCGAGTTCTATCTGTCATCAATTCAGTTTGCGCGGTTAGGCGCAGCTGGATGCCGCGTGGTGCGGTTAAAGCTTCTGCTGCTTCACCTTGGCAAATGTGAATTTTTTGTGGCGTCGCCGTGAACCATTCGGCGGCGAGAATGTACTGACTACGTCTCACATAGCAGCAATGCACGCGCAGACGGGCACACAGCGCGGCGAAATAAAGACAATGTAGAACAGTATCCTTGTGCTCTGTGGGACCGAGAGGGAAATGGCACCGCCCACTTCCAATACCGGCCAGGACTGAACCGAAAAGGAGCAGGCTTGGTGAATTGGGAGTGAGGTTTATCTGCTGAGTGTATTGATGAGACTTGATTAAAGCTTTTGGGCTGTCAACCAAGGTAGCTTTTAGCAGCCATATTCAAACTAACCATATTCAAACTAAAATATGTATTTTCACTCCCCCATTTTTTCCATTTTCGAACATTTTTAAAAAGCTCCAGGGAGCCACAAGGTGACGCTAAAGAGCCGCATGCAGCTCCGGAGCCCCGGGTTGCCGACCCCCGGTTTAGACCAATGGGGGCACTTGCCCCCCAAAATTTTGACTTGCGTTTTAAAATCAGCAAACATACTTCAGAATACTTTTGTTGGTCCTCCGGAAACGGTACCTACATATAAATAGACGTTGCTTCATCTGTGATAATTTTTTTCTGGCCTCGCTGATCATGTCGTTTAACGGTAATGCTTCAGTGCAGAAAGAACTGGTTGGCCACAAAGGTAAATGCATGTAGATGACTTGTCTAATATTCTGCTTCATCATCTTATTTAATTCGTGTGGTGGTCATAGCTCTCAGACTTTTGAGCACGTCTTGGGGGGGCAGATGATGTCACAACAGTCTTTTGCTTTTGTCGAGTATTCAAGGCTTTTTGCCTGGCCTATGTGATTTTGATGCGGAATGGTCGACGCAGGTGACGTGACATACCAATTTATCCGATGACACTTAAGGTTAGTGACCGTATTACATTTTTGCATGCTCTATGCCTGACGACACCCATATTTGGGTATGCTCACTCGCTGAAAAGTGATGCCATGTCATAATTTGTTGTAAATGATTTTTGTGGACCTGATAGCGAAGTGCTGCGTTCGTGTACTTAGTGAGCTCCCTTGTCTAACCAACAATGACGTTGAATGACATTCAAATTTTTCACAGTATGTTATTGAAGAACATTATTGCAGCCGTGCATGTAATCGGAGCATCCGTCAAGAGCGGGTCACACAACACAATTTTTGGGGGGGTAGTGCAACCTTACTTGCCAAAAGCATAATGTTACCAAGGTGTGGGTGGTGGTTTTTGTGATGTCTCTGTCCCCAACCTCTTCTAAGTAAACAACGTGATAGTGGGTTTGCAAAAATTCAGAAAGTATAATATTTGTATTTATGTATAGTTTTGGTATAAGTGGCCCTTGGACCGCAGCGATGGCTTCTTGTTTCTGTAGACCGTTTGAAGATACAGAATTGAGACCGTCCTCAGAGTCTGACATGCGCATGTGCTATCCGATGATGCCTGAGCTTGAAAAAAAACAAAAACTTGATTGGCAGTCAGCCTATGGCGAGGACTTTTGTCATGTTGGGTAAACCGTCACCTCTTTTATTAGAAAGTCATCTATGAAGTTGACATACCACCGGTGGACCAACGCTTTGCCTGTTTCCCGTTGGTCAAGACTGTCACTGTTGGCAGGTAAAAGATTGTTTTGGAGGAGTGCAAACAAAATTGGAGAAAAGGTAAGCCGGCGGCATTTCGGGAATTCCGCCCCCCTCCCCAAATCCACCCACTTGCGGACAGAAACTGGACTCGAGGAATAAAACCGTGATGAAATAGCACCTTCAAATACCGCGTGAAGCCTGCCAGAAGCTTGCGTAAAGTAGTGCATGTTCTTGCCAATCTTGCTCGGTACTCTTCATCCAATTCTTGACTACAGGCCGTGCCTTTAGTTATAGCTTTTGAGCTAGCAATCTATTGGTATGTACACTGACTTGTACTACAAAATACAATTGCAGTACAAGCCCTTTTTGGTTTCATTCTATTTACTTACCAAACCATGCAGTCAATCAAATTTGCTGTTGGTCCTTGACTTTTGTGTTTTATTTGTACGGTGACCACCTTTTTAACTCGAAACACTCAATATCCTAAGTCAACTTTCCTCATTGAAAGGAATGGAAATGCCATTATTCCATTCCAGCACCACATTGTGCCCCCATTTGGTTTTGCGTGCCAAGGCCACCAGGGAGAAGTATAATACATAGACACACAAAGAAGAGTTACCTCAATGACTCGGCTGCAGTCATTAGGTGTTTTTCTCTGAGGATAATTTATGTCTTTGTGTATTGTCTGTCTACATGTGTTGCAGCACAGTTTTTGTGTTCACAAACGCATTGCTTAAAGGGGTGTAACACGGCGGCGGCGATGCTCTCCGTTAGCCCATCTGTGTGTTGGCATTAGGCTGGTGGACTTTGCTAAAGCAAAGTTCCCTCTGCAATTTATATGCATTAACATGTCATTCTCTTTGTTTTATGTTTAGTTTGACAGTAAACCTCAAATAGCACTAGAAATAAACAGATTGAGCCTCTTGAAGGAGAGTTCACCATTTATCAAGCTACTGCTTCTTTTGAGTTGTTTGCTACCAGCATTTACTGCTCTCAACTCGCAAGGAATGGCCGGAGCAAGCGCTCGTACGGCTTAAGTCAAGCTGCCGATTTGGTTCTTTGTTTGTGTACTGCATCTTTTGTCAACTGAAGGGAGTGCTCACTGCTACATTGTCAAAACTTATATCCCTCTCTGCAAATATTTGCCTTCAAAGGTACCTTTGGGAGTCTGCAACTGTCCTAAAATGTTATGAAGTCAGCACAAGTTAATGGGTGAGAGGAAATATAGAGAGGTCATTTGGCGGGTGTGCTACGATAATGTGGAGTTTGAAAAATCCTCCATCAGCTATCTGGACTCGCGCTGTGCTTACACGGCTTCCCCCTCAGCCTGCGCTCCACCTCTCTACAAAGTTCACTGGACATTTGTTGTTTTGGATTCAAACAGGTAATGCACACACAAAAACCCAGAGCAAAAAAAAAACAAACAAACGTGGGGGACTTTAACTGGTACTCGGTAGACTGACAAAGCCTCTAAATT